TTTCAAAGAGCCGCCAGACCCCTGGGGGGGGGGGGGGGGGGATATCGGCGGCAAATCTTGTGAAGTATAAGTATCCCATGTGGGTGTGTCGTTTTCATGTCGATGAACGAGCGTTGGTACTAGGGGAGGGGAGTGGGATCCAAGAGTACGGGGAGGCGTGATTGTAAGCGGGGCGAGGTCGTCGTTGCTGCCCAGGGATCAGAATCGGCTCTCGGTATGTGCTCTTTTTCTGTTCGTGTTTGCGGTATAATTGGGAGATGCGTGTTGCGGTCTAAAAAAAAAAATTGATTCATTTTTCATAAAAAAAGAGGGGGACGACTCCACGAATATTTTCGCAAATTTATCCAAAGTGCAGAGAAATTGAGACTATCACATGTTTCTATAACCCCATTTGAGAGATTGGTCGTTGGCGACGAACCGAAGCGGTTTCCCCCCAAAACCACCTCGCGCGCTTACAGCTACCCTCAGGGGAAGGCATGATCGGCCTTGCGAAGAGCGAGCGACAAAACAAATCCTCGCGATCTGCCATGCTTGATTATTCTCGTCGCCATGCACAACTCGCCCAAAGGAAAGGGGGGGCCTCTGCCCGTTTTTGTGGAGACAGACATCGTCCTTTCGAAGGATCATGTATCATGTCTCCAACGTCTGGATATTTGTCGAGGGCCGTTGGTTCCCTCCTTTCTCACTGGCTTCGAAAAGCATGCGAAGCCTCACGCGCGCATCAAAACAAACGCTAACATTGTGTCATCATCAGATGCATATTATCATCTTCACAAACAACTTCTTAGTCGTCTTCAAAAGCAAAAACCTAAGTAGTCCCACTCCCTCTGTGCAACACCTTTCCTTTCCTTTGTGTCCCCGACTGATGCTTCAAACGTGTACCGAAAGTTGCTGGCGGCAGAATACGTGGAACGAAGAATCACGCACAACGCGCACACGCTTTGCGCTCCCGGCCCGACAACGGCCACCTGTCCTCTGCGCCTCTCATGCGAGGACACGTGGCCGCCCCAAAACATTTTGGTAGCCGCACTCGCTTCATTTCTGGGCATCGCTTCACACTGGTATTGTAAACCCGACTCGGTGAAAAAAAACGGGCACCGTCAACACAACATTACCGCAACCAAGATAAACCTAACATTCAAGACACCAGAAACCGACAAGTACGAGAGAGCAACCGGGTGTCTTCGGGGCTGTCTTTGTGCCTTACTTAGCACTTCACACACGCCGCGACAAAAACAAGTGTGTGTGGGGGGGGCAATGCTTGAGGGTGGACCTCTTGTGGAAAGACACGTCCGGCGTTCCCTTATCGTAGGCATGCTATCGAACAGGCTCGACCACGACCAACAAGAAGCATCAAGCGCACAAACAAAAACACTAGGGATGCTTTCACATACGCTCATGTCCACCGTGAGTAACGGGATGGCCTCCCTCAGGCAAACGTGTACGTGCTGCCTCGGATAACCAACACCAACGCAGTAGGACTTGCAACGCCGGACAAAAGCTTTCCTCGGGGGAGGGGCACCCACAACCAAGCATGAAGCAGCCCACCCCCCACCCCCCACCCCTACCTGCATTACACAAATCACCCAACTCAACTCCAGCGCAACCACCTCCCCCCATCAAAGGTTCTTGGCGGCACCACGATGGTACACACGCAACGAGGGCGTTCGAGGGACAGACGTCTAGACAAGGCCACTAACACAAACACAAGACCCAAATACCATCGACGACGACGATGACAACTTTGACAAACAAATACGATTAAAAACAATACCGACACAACACTTTTTTCGAGTGACAACACAAACGAAAACGATCAAAAACGTTACCGGTACACAGCGAAACACAACGGCCTCAACAACCTCAGATAGATGACGAGAAGACAAGGGAGGACTCACACAGCATCGTCCCCGTCCACACCCAAATGCGAAAGGTTTACGGCCCCGTTCCCGCCCGCCGCCGCTGCCGCCGCCTTCGCCAGCTTTCGTTTCTTTCGGCGCCGCTCCGCGAGGCTCCCCACCCGGCCCCCTCCCCCCACCCCGCCTGCTTCCGCCACGGACCCCTCCCTTTCCCCGCTCGACCCCTCCGCCTTCTGCGATCCCCCTAAACTCGAAACCTCGGCAGCAGCAGCAGTAGGAGTAGCCGTACCGTCCGCCCCATCGCTTTCTCCCCCCTGCTCCTTGCCACTCTTCCCTTCTCTAGCGCTACCTCCGGTGACTAACGCTCCAGCCCCCCCCTGATCCTGATTCAAGTCGCCGCCACCGCCGCCGCCGCCGCCGGCCGCCACTGTTTTCGTCCCCGGTCCATCTTCCGCCGCCCCCCCCCCCCTACCGACTTCGCCATCACTATGAGACCCCGCCGCCGCCGCCGCCGCCGCTGCTCCATCGCCCGCCGGCGGTGGGTCTCCGACGAGAGCGGCCTTGACTTCGGCCTTGTTCGCCAGCAGCAGCGGTGTCTGGCCCTTGGAAGTCTCGGCCTCAACGTCGGCCCCTGCTTGCATCAGGACGCGCACGGCCTGGTTGTCGTCGAAATGCCGTGCGGACGGAGAAACCGCCGTGTAGCAGCGGAGGGCGGGCTAGGAGGGGTTAGAGCTACGTCTTATTACGTGTTGCGGTGCACTGCCGTATCGGCGGTGGCGAGGCAAGGGCTCTGTGAGCGCTGGCCAGGTAAGGGCTAAAGGTACAAGACACAGGACGACTGATTGGCTGGTGCGAATGGAAGTAGCAGGTTGAAGGCTTGGACAAGAAAATCGCGTGTAGGTGCCAAGACAGACCTGCTGTCAACAGACGTTGGTTGAGTACGGAGGTGTGCAACGGGAGACCCGATTGGCCGACACCCGCAAGCACACGCGTGTTATAATCCAAACTGAGGGATGGTGGCTTTTATGGCAACGTGCTCGAGCCCGCCGTCTGTTGATGCTCTTCTGTGTATCTTTGCTAAATACCACGCAGCAGCGATCCAAGTGCCACACAACATGCCGCCCCCATTTAGACAACCGGACCAAACAAGATTCGACTTCTATGACGTGTCCTGGGGCCTTGTGTAAGAACAAGGACCCCCAGTCTCCAGCCGGATTCCCTCCTTCCCTGAAAAGACTTCGACACATCACTTTCGACCGGGGTTATATCTCGAACGGGTGCAAGTACGTAAGTCTTTTCTGTGAGATTCATGTCTACTTTCGAAAAAATAGTGACGCCCCACTACTGTCCACCAAGCAGCACGTGGGACGCTTCTTGGCTGAAGGGGTGTGCCACATACCCTCTCCCATTTCGAGGACTGACCTCTTATCAACACAGGGAGGGGGAGTACCACGGATGCATCCCGCCGAGAGTTTCGGTACAGCCACCAGCAACAGTGAACAGCAACAACAGCAACACCACACCAAAACAACACAACAGCATTCATCATCAACGGCAACACAACATTACAAACACCAACACCACCAACACAAACAAAAATAACACCAATCTTACCTCGACATGGCCCTTTCCAGCAGCGAAATGGAGAGGTGTCTGTAGAACCGGCAAGCAACAACGTGCCACGAACAGCCGACGGACAAGTGACCCATTCAACCAGAACAGCAACAGCAACAGCACCGGCACAACGCAGAGGTAAACACGAGGCAAATGTCAGAGGCAGGGACCATGGACCTAGCTCAGCATCTGAGCATGTGCCACCATCGTCAGAAAATCAAGCAAGCAAAACCAAAAACCCGCACAGGTCGAAAGAGAGAATCTCGCATCTACAGTATCAATCTGTTTTGAAATATAGGGACCATTGGGACAATCACATGAGCATTCGAATTGTTGTTGTTGTTGTTGTTGTTGTTGTCGTCGTCTTGACATGAAAAACCGTTCCGGTCAGTGCGTTCCAATGTCCGTACTGGCCCAACTCATGCGGACAACTTTCGTGGTCACAAGCCAACTACCCCCCAAAAAGGGGTACACGCCTTCTAGAACTCAAATAAAAATGGATCCCGGAAAGGTCCTCCAACGGCCCTTATATTTCCGAACAAAAGCTCCGGGAAGAATGTGTTAACCTTCGAGTGAATGGTACGTGCAAAAACAAGATTTTCTTTCGTAAGAGTGGACAGCACAGGCAGGGCTTGGAGAGTATGCACACAAATAAATGCGTGACACACAACGGACAACACAACCAACGGGTCGCGCATACAGAACAAAAAGACGCGCAAACAGCAACAACACACACACAAAAACACCAACCACCACGACGAGTGCACACCGACTCGTCACGGCAACAACAGTAGGCTTGCCGCGGGTATCTTCCCGTGCCTGGTATCTTCCCGTGCCGGTACCGAAGCGGTCTGGCATGTTTGTGACATGTTCCGTGGTCGGTCCGCAGTCGGCAGCCATGGATAGGAAAGATGCCATGGATACGGTGTTGGGAGGTTCTGAGACGTTCCGAGGCTATTCGATGTTCTGCCGTGCGGTGACGTGGAGGTCGATTTCCGCTCGATTTCCCCCGTCCGTAAGTGGACAAAAGTGGGTACAATTTGGACAAAAGTGGGTCAAAATACAGACACAAGTGGGTACATGAAAAAATTAGTTGACGCCGGTGGGTATACCCACCGCGATGTCGGACATAGGTGGGCACTCTGGTGAGGCCTTGCGCGCGTCGGCGGTATTAGGGCCAAAGGTGTGCCTAAAAGTGGGGAAAAAACGATGCCCGTGCTGTGTATGGTCCCTGGCTGTGTCGCCCAGGTGTCAGAATGGGGTTTTGAGTCGTTTGGGGGTCGCCTATGGAGTGCGCGCGCGCTGGATTTTCGAGTACCCACTTGAGTCCGAGAAAGGGGTGGGTATACCCACTTGTGTCTATTTCCCAAAAAAAAACGTTCTCCAAAAGGGTGTGTGGCTTAAAAAGTCAGGTTTCTGGTGAAAATACGAACAAAAAGGTTCTCCAATAGACTAAGCGCGTATGTGTGCAGCTAAAAAAATCAGGATTCCGGTGAAAATACAAAATTCGTGCTCTAAAAGAGCCTGTGGTTTCAAACACCAGCTTTCCTGGAGGCCGCAAGGCGCTGTAGGTAACCCTCCGCACCCCCACCTCGCCCACCTCGTCCTCCATAGTACGGGCTGTACTGCCGCCCATCCAACACCCCACACGACCTCCGCTGTATTATTTTGCTTCGGTGGGGGCACGCAGCTGCAACAGCGACAGGCTGCTGCTTGCCGGCGCAACTCGACCCCTGACTCTGACTCCCTTCGTTTTGGTTTCATTCTTAGTCCGCCTGGCGGCCGTTGACACTACCTACCTACGATAGGCTACCGCATTGTACCAAGGGCCTTCTACATAAAAATAACCTCAACACGAAAAACCGAATCATAGATATTTGGAATTAGATATGATCGACCCTCCGTTGGCAAAATAAAAAGGCAAACGAAAGCCCTTGCAAACCTCTGCACGGTCATCGTCTCAAACACACTTGGTATCGCATGTGTGGGTGTATTCTGGCCCTGTGCTTGACAGGACGCGCTGCGCTGTTCCCGGGCAGGTCTTGGCATGCTAAAACCGACACACGGTAGACAAACGCTAAACGTACCTTCTTGGTTTTGCGCAGCTTCGCGTCCACCTTAGCCCCCGCCCCCAGCAGCAGCCGGCATCCCGCCGCGCACCCCGCCTGAGAGCAAAAGTGCAGCGGCGTGAAACCATCCTGCGCCTCCGCCATGCAATCGGCCCTTGGGTTAAACAAGACACAGAAGGCCAATGACGGGAGGCGGCGGAAATATTTTTGACAACGGGTTTTGCCATGCAGTTGGGTTACAACAGAGGGACAAGGACGGGCGAAATTACTTTTCGATAACGGGTCACGAATTGCCGACCGCGACTGCTGTTAGGCGGGCTGGCACATGTTGTTGGCCCTTGGGGTAAGAAAACGAGAGGGTGAAGGACGGGGCGGAACGACTTTTGACAACGGGTCACGAAGCGAGCTACCATTTTTGCCGCTACTCGCAGACCGCGAATGCTGTAAGGCGGGATGACACGAGAGAAGGCAAAACGATACAACAGTAGAATGGAACCTGTCGACACCACGTGTACGTGGGGTCTGATGCCTGCCCACTGATGAACAACTCAGTGTATAGGCTCATATAGAATCTAAATAAGCCCAGTATCCAGTCGGTTTCTTCCCACTCACTGCTGTAAACACCTCAACACATCCCCTTCGACTGTGGTATTATCTCGAACGGGTGGTCTCCTTTCATTGTATGCATTTGTGTATATTTTCCAAAGCCGTCCGCGATCGAGATGGCATGCGGTGGGATTTATCGCGCGAGGCGAGGCGGTCCAGTTCTCTGTCGACAACGGTCTGGATTGGGGTGACCGCGGTCCCCTGCGTACATAGCGGTCTGTCCTTCTCACAGGAACAAAGAAGGGACAACCCACGTGGCGTGGCCCACAGCACACGCTGGACGTCCGACAAAACCACTTCAATTGCCAAGCTGACGGTACAAGCGATGGCGTGGGGTTATAGTTCCTGGATAAGGCTAACGAGGAGCTAACCCAATGCCAATCGCCAGCGCGTGTCAACTTGAAGTGGTTCTCTCGGACGCCCACAGGTTCTACAGGCCAGGCCACTTCGATGACGGTCTTTCCTTCTTCACGCCTGTAAGGAAGGACAGACCCCCTATTGACCGCTACTGACGCAAGGGACAACCGTCACCCCAATCCAGACCGTCGTGAACAGAGAACTGGACCGCCTTGCCTAGCGCGATAACGTCTACCCCATGCCATCTCGATCGTGGACAGTTTTGGTACGTGTGGGGAACGTAGTGCACAACGCCATGTTCCTTTCATCGGGAGGGGGGGGGGGGGGGGCCATTTTCTTTCTCCCCACGGAGGCCCCCCCCCATGTTGGTCCCCCCTCTTGCATCAAACTGAAATGTATGTGCTTGTTGCAAAAAAAATTCTTGCTTTACCTCTATCCTACCCCATTTGGCAGCGTACTTCTACCCTAGCTCAAAAAATTTCTATTGCTGGATCCCGATTCTACCTCCCATCCCTGCTGGGGCCATCATCCGTCCCCAAGGGGGGTGATCCCTCTTTTTGCTTGCTACAAC